CGGTTCTGTGCCTGCGGGGTTATGGCACGCTCGTCGGTTTGGTGTCTGCCTTTGAAAGGGAAGCTTTGCAACTCCGGTCTTAACTCGCATCTTCCTTGTGGAGGTAGAGACAGGGTACTAAGGCTCTTCTACGGGAGTTGCTTGCGTTGTGATCTATTTGTGTGCCAGCACTTCTGACAGGTTATGAAATGTCAAGAATTTCAGAGATGCTTTTCTTGTTTAATTACCAACTCCTTGTAATGTGCATGTTGTCCTCGGTGTTCTGAAATTGGACACAGAGAAATAACAGTACTCTTTGCCATCACTGAGTGATGCTATCAAACTGCAGAAACCTTGCCACATTTAGAAAAGCATTTTGGTTGCCTGGATGTTGGAAGAATAACAAATGTTTATAACAATTCTCAGCAGTAGGCAGAGATACTGGGTGGCCCGAGGGCAGAAAGGGCTATATATACACAAGAGCAGATGACTTGCAGCACTTGGGGTGGGGGAGAATGAACTGCAGGGGTAGAGACAGATCCGACGAGAAAGGACGGAAGGATTCCATCCGTGCGCAGACATGCACACACGTACATGCTCGCTGCAGGAAGCTGTTAACAGTTTAAATTTTTTAAGAGGTTTTGTGTTCGGTCTCTGCTGTGTAAGGCACTAAAACCCAGGCAGATAAAAGCTGTGAGCACTGATTATAGACGCGGACCATTGTATGGTAGGATGCATATGCCACGGAAAGGGTGCTGTGCGCTTACATAATTACCACTTAGGTAATTACAGAGCTCACACCCAACTTGCCATCAAATACAGCATCCTACTCCAGAGGTCTCCGAAGCAATTTCACACTGGTGTGCCTGTCCAAAGGGGAGCAGCTTCCAGCTCTGCCGGCGTGCAGGGCTGTGGGGTGAGCGTGTCCTGGACCAGGGCACCTGCACGGGCCCGTGCTGTGGCCCACCCCAGAGGCTCCGTTTTGAAGCCCGCGGTGGGAGGTGCCGGTGCTGCTCACCCAGGGCCGAAACCAGTCTGATGGGGAGTGCGCCCGAGATGGGGCCTCGGTCCTCCTTTGCAGGGCTAGCAGCGAGTACATCTCTGGCATAGGGGGCCTGCCTTTGAGTTACGGCATTGCGGGAGGAGGCTGGTTCCTGGCCCAGGGAAGCAGAAACTTGCCCCTGCTGCTGAAGAGCCGTGCTGGAGCAACTCCTCACGGACATCCTTGTCACGCGTTCGTCAGGGATCTGTAGCAGGGCATGAAGCAGAGCAGACCCCAGGTCTTGTTTCCTTCTGCAGTTGCGTAGGTCGCCCACATAGGAATAACTTCAACAGACCCACTTGGCCACTTGAAGTAGATAGCAGGGAAATGAGTACAGTACACAAACCTAAACAGAACCATCTGCTTTGACAATTACGGCCATACCATCTGGAGGACTGGACCCAGCCTGCCCCTCACATTTGTCAGAGGCTGAGGGACAACTGCCAGACGTCGAGGCTTCCATCACTGGAAAGGAGAGATGCCCACAGGACTGAGTGGAGTGGTGCTGCCTGCTGCTTCCCTCCCACCCTTGGCAGCAAATCACTGCAGATAGGGTTTCCAGTTGGAGCGTTCTCAGGCACAGCAGTCAGCTGGCACGTTCACCAGTTGCAAAATGTTTGATATGGTGCCTGTGGCAGCCAGACGTGTAAGTCCTGATTAATTCATCTTGACCAATGGTTTGCTGCTATGCCTGTGTAGGTAGAGACCGCAGAACGTCATTAAAATCTAATCACGCTCGGGCAAGAATCAATAGTAGAAACTACTGAGATTTCAGTAATGGAAATGAGGCCTGAGATTCTCGTTTTGGCTCTGGAGACTTCATAATTTGATCCTCCTGTTCTGGTGCAGGCAGTTTGTGTAAATGAGTTGAAATCATTTTTTAAACTGCTTTCTTTAGATTCATTCTCCTTGCCAAGTGGAGAAACACATTTTTAAAAGTGCATCTTTGACAGGTCTTGGCCACATCTCTTTCTGCTTTCCTACACACCTGTAAACAAGCAAGGGCCTTGTTAACATTGTTGCTCTACTAGCTGAGCGGAGATGCTTGTTACCAAATGGAAAAGTACACATGATGCAGATGTCACAGAGAAAATCTGGTGCCTTCAAGGTTTCTAATGGGCAAGCTTTTCTCCGTGCCAGGAGACGTTTGGCATAGGAACAGCAGGGAATCAGAGCCGGATCTGTGACTGTCAAACTGTCCTGGCCCTGCTCTGAGTCAGCCTGATGTATGAGTTGCTCCTGGGTAACTCTGCCATGGTCGGCTGCGTAGATTTTGTTTGTTGCAGATTTTCCCCTCCTGCAGCCCATGGCACCCTGCTTGAATACATACCAGTCCGAAAAATCACATCTGCCTTTTTCCAGGAGAGCGATAGGGCTTATTCATTGTCCAGCCCCCGATTTGTGCAGCGCTTCGGCCTCCCCAGGGTGTTTTGCTATGGGCTGTGCTGTGCGAAGAGGACAGGGCCCCCTCTGAGGAGTGACGTACCGTCCCGGTGCCTCGCGAGGCCTCGAGGACGGAAAGCTTTCCGCCTGCTCCCTCAGGGAAGGAGCAGGAGGGGGCTGCCTGGGGTAGCAATGGAGTGCAACATAAAAAAGGCAGGTGGCTGCAGGCAGGTTCAATCTTTGTTGGATGTATTTCTTTCCAGGGGTATTCCAGATAGCACTGGCATGATGATTTTTAAGTACTGCGCTAGAAGGAAGATCTTGTAGAAGACATCATATACTGCACTGATTTATTTAGATATAAACAGCTGAAAGCTTTACTTATAGCGGTCGTAACTCTGGCTGCTTATCAGTAACTTTAATATTGCGATCTGCCTTTAACCCTCTTACAGGGGAAGACAAGATGTAGCTGCCACAGTACAGCCACGTGTCGTTACCCTCTCTCAAGGTCTCCAGCAGAGCGATAAGATCCTATAGAAAGCTTTGGGGTACCGCTGGCAAACAAATCTCCTCTTGCAGGAATTGTGTCAATGCATGGTTCTTAAGTACCTGTTGTGGCTACAAAATTGTTTAACTGAAGGTCTTTTGTAGCAGAAAATCCTTCACGCTGACGAAAATTGCTGGGGTAGTTAAGATACCATCCCACATGCTTCATTTTTCCTAAGTTGTCTTGCTGCCCTGCTAATTATTTAACATGCAGTTTGAATGCCCCTTCTCGTCTCCCCATCCCAGCCTCTTTTTCATCCTACAGTGAGTATTTAATGCAGAAATTTCGCCGTGACATCCATTTCCATATTGGTACACAGCAATGGCCCAAACGTACAATTACATCTTCAGCTCAGGATGGAGCACAAGCAGCTGTTTTAATAAGGGTTTTCTTTCTCTCCTCCCACAGCTCTGAAATAAGAGCAAAGGGAACGCAGAAAATGACTGCCCAAGGAAATTGGTTTTTTATAAATGTTCTCTTCTCTCAAGTTTATTCCAGGGCAATAGCCCTGCTACAGTGTAGGAAAGCACACTAGCATTAACAAGTGGTTATTCCGGAGGCCTGGGTTTGCCCAGCATTCCAGTACTGGAGGTGATGCATAGGTGAGCTGGAGCTGCTGCATTCGTTCTGCTCGGCCCCATTTTTCTTCTGCTTTGTCACGCGTATCCTCATTACAGCTTGCTGATGAGGGCTGGTAATGGGATGAGTTACCTGGGATTGGACTTGGTACAACAGTCAGCTAATCGTCAGTTCCCGGGCAGAGACATTTCTCAGGGAAATGCATTTTCTTGCTGCTCTTAGGCAGTTCTTGTGAATAATGCGAGACGAGCGCGAGCACTGCCTGAGAAACAGCCTTGCAGCGGGTGACGGTCTCTGCCGTGGTGCCCCCCTCTCCCAGCGAGGGAGCCGCGGCTTAGTGCAGCCAGGCAGAGGGGGGCTGCGCTCGGTGAACTTCGCTGACCAGGTACCATCGCTGGTAGTAGCGGGCAGCTCCCGGTACTGCGGTAGGCTGGAGAGCTCCGGCTGGGAACCATTAACCTGCCCTCGTGCAGTGAGCGAAAACGCTTTGTCTTATTTCAGGATGCAGAAAAGGAGGGAGGGTACAAGAGCTCTGTCAGCGAGGCACAGGATTCAATCTTGGGTTTGTTCACGTTTAGACAATCTGCTCTCGCTTTAACTAAAATCTGGCTCCTTGGATCGGTAACTGAAATACTGCATGTAAACAACATTGATACGTCAAGACGCTGACCTTCGCTACTCACTGTGATTTTCAGGTGCTTGCGGAATTGTGGAAGGGAGAAGGGAAGACTCCTCTTGAAATTGTTAAAGAAAAGAAACTTGAACTGATACAGGATCAAAACGAGCTTGAACAGATCTGCCAGGCGGTGATTGATGGACAAGAAAATGAGGTGATTATGATGGTGCTGGGAAGCTTGTGCACTATGGCAGTCTGTGGCACTAAAAAGGGGGGTGAAATGGCCTTTTTTTTTTTTTTCTCCCTTTGATTGGCATTTGAGCTCTAGAGCCAGTAGAGGAGCATTAAAGCTGCTGCTCAGATATTACCAGGCTTTTCTTCTCCTTTCTTATTTTACTAAGTGTTTTTTTGGAAATTGAAGCATACACAGAACGATCAGCAGAAGAAATTACCAGTCTGGCTAATGCGCTAAGTCATTCTGAGAGACCATAAAAATTTAATGCAGGAAGGCAAAACTGTGGGGCTCTCTCCCTCTTCAGCTATACCGCCATTAACCCGACCTGGCCACCCGGCCGCATAACTCTGATTTTTATGTCATCTGTTGTGATATTAGGGCAACGCTGTTAAACTGTTCTGAAGCTGGAGATTGAAGCTACCTCCAGCAAGGCATGTATTAGTTATGGAATGAGAGACTGCATCAGAGGCTGGCAAGGCAAAAATGTTACTTGCATCTGTCTCCGTCCACTGCCAAAGCGACGGGCCTAGCTGGCTCTCCTGCCTGACAATGCCTGTGGGTGGGGAGGAGCCGAACCCCCGCGGCAGCGGGGGCAGCGGCTCCAGCGCTGCTGTCCGCCCTGCCGGTCTGCTGCTGGGCTGTGGCAGCAGCGCAAATGCTGCAGTAGGAAAGATGGGGGTTTGGCTCTCCCCCATCTCCTTGGAAGGACACGCAGCAGCCCGTGCGGCTCATCGGTCTCCCAAGGTCTGAGCTGGGAAAAAGGGAAAAAAAACCTGTTGAGCACGAAGGGGAGGAGTGGGAAGGGATCTTGACAGAGCCTAAAATCTGCCTTATAAAAAGCAAAATGAAAACAAGTGCTTATATGTTCTCTGGAGCAAAAATGTAAAAGCAGAAGTGAATAGCTTACTTCTACTATAAACATTGTCTAGATACATTTGCCATTTGGAAAAAAACATTAACATCTTTTGAGAACAGTACCACCCACCCCAGATCTCATTGGGGGGGTGCTAACAGCGCTGCAAGAGCTTTTGATAAAGAAAATGAGCTTGCAGTAGGTCGGCATGACCTCCATCAGACTGACTCATTTGCAGAGCCTGATAAAAGCGCTGCTGCATTTTCAGACTGGTACAGAAGCACAAGCGTGGATAGAAAAAATGTTAGAACTGACTGGGAAGTGCAGACGCTGAAGGTCTGTAACTACACTCCCATTTCAATAGTAATGCACTCTCCGAGAATTTAATTCCTCCCTGTTTTCCACTGTTTTAGTCAAGCCAAATGCAGTAGAGCGGCCTCACTTCCCTGCTTTTTCCAGGCGATCTTTCGCCGAGGCAAAAGCTGCCTTGAAGGCCTGTAATTCATTGCTTTAAATTGCTGTGAGAGCTTACCTTACAAAATAGAGTTAGCCGAGTACTTGACAGGGGGAAAAAAAAAAGTATGCCTTGCTTTTTGATAGGAACTTTCTTTAAAATCAACTAACTTGCAGACAGTTGCTCAAGCCAACACTGAGCACTTTATGAAAACGCAGTGTCTGGATTGTACTGTATTCTGCCCCATAGGGGTAATTTCTGGCAGATCAGGAGCAATGAGTCCTTTCCATATTGTGACATGACAGAGAAGATTTTAGACCGCCAATAATTGGGATACCGTAATGAGTAGCAATATTTGCATTTGTGCTTGGTGTTGGCACAGGGGGTGGTTCATACGTTTGCAATCCTTCCCTTACTATCTGTAAATATGCCGTCCAGTTTCATCGAAGCTGTCGTGTTCTGCCCAGTAACTCTGACAACGCAGAGAATGCCTTCCCTGCCGCGCAAACAACACGAAGGCCCCAAGCTTGTCTTTCAGCAGCAGCGTCTCCTTTAGAAATGCCTGACAGTGAAATTCCCAATGCTTTTTTCAGTGTCTTTACTTAGCTTTTAAATGTGGCCCTTGCTATTTTGCAGGTGATTGTGCATCAAACACTAGATGTCTGATAGGAGGTCCTATTTCTGATCAGTTAATTAATTGCTAAGTTGCAAAGGATGCCTCGCTTAAAGGAAATAACATGCTGTTACAAAAACACCTACTTCTGCACTTGAAGGGCCTCACAAATATTATCAAATAGATTGTGATTTGATGCAAATTACTTGTTATAACAGAACAGTATGTCGAGTAAAAAGGTAGAGCCTCTTAGCAAACAGAAGTGGGTCTCATTTTTCTGGCTCTCTTCCAGAAGTCTCTGTTCAAGTTGTAGACACTGTTAAAATCCAAAAGTGCTTTCTGACTTTTTCAGTAAGAGGAGATCTTTCTATTAGTCGTAAGGCCCTGCTGCTGCTGTAGGGACGTGCTGTTGTCTCATGGGAGCAGGGCAGGAGCTTATTGCAAAGCTGAAGGCAGTTTTTATAAATAACAGCCCCAAATACAGTATTCTGTCACAATGGTCCAAAGGACAAAAATATGCGTACCTTGGCTGTGAATGAGTGAAAATGTCCAGGCTTACTGTAACAGTGGTGTCTGTTGATTTTTTTTCTCTAAAGGTTATGGCAATAAAAGCAGGAAATCGAAAAGTTCTAAATAAGTTAATTGGCCTGGTACAAAGAGAAACACAAGGACGATCCAATCCTGTTCTGGTGAAGCAATTATTAGAGAAGAAGCTGTCAGAGTAGCCACAAGAGAAAACCACCCAAGTGTCCACAGAAGACACGTGCTTCGTTCTGTCTGGTTCACTGCAAATGAACTTTGGTGCCTCCTCGTGTGTCCTCAGGACTGCTGGTTATTCTTCAAGCAGCGTTACGTCCTAGCCTTCCCCGGGCGCATCAGCCAGGGGCAGATGAGCAAAGGAATAGGAGATGATGCAGTCATTGGCATCCCCCTCACTTCGGTGTGGCATTCGGAAACGTGATTTCCACACAGCCGTGGGAAACAAGTTCCCAGAGGTGCCTGCGAGCATGCAGAGAGCTGAAGCTGTACTGGTTAGCTTTGCAATAAAGCAAGCGTAAACTCAGCTTTTCTAGCTGCCTTTTTGTGAGAAGGGAGATTCACACATCTTGGATGCAAAATCTGGTGGCGCATGCTAATAACTCACTGTAAATCAGTGTGAGCACTCTAGTAACAATGATTAGGACACGTGGCAGTCATTAAGACGCCCACGTGTGCCTCCATGCCTAGCAGAAGGGAAAGAAATGTCCACTGCTACCATTCTTCCTGGTTTCTGAGGGATGGGGAAAAGACGAAGTCGCTGGCTGCTTAAGTGCATGCCTGAGGCGAGTGCCACAAACATCTAAGAAGGAGCGTCAGATTGTTTGCTCGCCTTCTCCTTGGTGCGTACCCAAACACCTGCTTTGCCTACTCACAGCTCTTCCAGTTCTGAAGAGCGCCTAACCGATGCACGCTCGAGCCCTGCCGAGGTCCGCATCCCCTTTTGGCCTGTGAGGTTCAGCGTAGCGGACGCGCTTCTGCCGGCCCTGCACAGCCCAGAGAGGAACAAGCAGTGCCTTTCTCTTTTGCAGTAAAAGGACCGTTCGCTCCAGTTTGGTTTCTCCCCTGCTGACGAGAACTCGGCCCTGTGTTACGAATGCTGGGAGCCTGGGGCGGCACACCTCCCTGGCACCCGGCTTTCTGCTGGCACCTGGACCTGCACCACTTTGGGGAAGGAGCTGAACATTCAGTCGGCTTACCAGAACTGAGCAGGATTCAGCTGGGTGCCAGGGTCTGCTCTACTATTTAATCCTAAGGAGTGTTTTATGCTGGGTTTTTTGTACCTTCCATTTTTCAGCTCCTAGCCTTAAGCACCCACCGAAATCCAGGGTCCTGGAGTTAACTTCCCAGTCCCAACCCACTTCAGCTGATCAAACCATTCACAGGTAATGCAACTAGAGGCAGCCTATCAAATTTACATTTATTAGGGA